AAATATTGTTAGACAAACTTACACAATATATCCTTTATTTATGAAATCACATTTTATTCACTAAATCACTTTAAGCTCATAAATAAAGGATTTACATGTATATCTTTTACTTACAAGCAAATCATTTCTTTACAATGTTCATTTTAGTTAGACCAGACAGACACAATAATGACATTTTGTACACACAAAACGGTTAAATCAACCTTATTTAAACATAAATAAAAAATGATGTGAAGTAAAATGCAGAATAATTAAATGAACACAGTAATATGGTTATTTAACGTGGCCAAAAACTCTTTTGAAAAAAAACCACGTGTGTTGATCACACCAGCACAAAGAAGATTTCACTATCACCAAATACAGTTACAAAGCTTGGAATTACAAGAAACCTCCCGAATCTACACCCTCCGAACTCATGGTGACTCCTCTTTGACTCGCTTTCAGACTCATCGCCTTACTTCGAGTCTTCTACTTGCCTTCGGTCCTCCTGACCTACTCCAGGCACGATGCCCGCTTTCAGTCCCCTGACTTACTCTGAGCGCCACGATTTGCCTTCAGCTCCTCCTCAGACCTACTCTGAATCTCACAAAGTCCACATATTACAGGGTTTGAGAGTTACAAATAAAGCCTAAGAAAAGCTATAGATTTCTCTCACTCTTAAGCACAAAGGAGAACACTCAATTTTTCTCTCACAAAATGAACACTCAAATTTTGTCCGTGCTTTCCCAATTTCAAAGGTCACAAGGTGACCTCCTTAAATAATAAACCCAGATATGAGAGATGCCTAGGATCTCTCCACTTGATCAGGGTTGAGATTTGATTGCGATCTTCTCATGAATTTTTGATGCAATTTCTTCATTGAATCTCGTTTTCACTGTATGAACAGAATTTCTGATCCTGCAGCGGTTAATATAATCTGGATAGATAACTCGTGATTTATTAATAAAAATGCATTCAATCATGATTTTAATCAAATCCTAAATTGATAAGAAAAGTCCTGAAAGAAATGTTCAGAAAACATAGTCAATGATTGAATTAATCCTCACTGAACCTAGACTCAATTATGCACAAAGGTCAAATCCACATAATCTGAAATTTCAAGAAATTACTAAAAATAGATGAGATAAATTTGTGATCAGCAAATTAAAAATATTATCTCATATAATAAGCAATCATATCCTGTAAAAGAATCCGAATATTAGCCCAGAAGTTAACTTGTGATGACAAAATCTTCAATTATCCAATCAAATCGGGCTATTTATGGAAACAAATCAACGAGATTACAATCAACCAAATAAGGAGACAAAGTGTAAAAACAACAACACAATTCTATTGATTTGATACAAGGTTGCCAACAAAAATGCACAAATCCCTCACCAATCACAAATGCCACATAGGAAGATTTGTTTCTCATATGATTAAAAATCCTAACAATCTCCATCTTTGGCATAGTTGGTATCAAAACCATTTAATTGAAAGAAGTTCCTGCATACACAAAGTGTTAGTCCATAAATACAATGATCCATGCTCAATGGACAACACTTCAATGTTGCTCAAGATTTGTTGCTGCAAAAGAAACGATTCTTCTCCCCCCTTAATGAACTTCAAATCTCTTTCCAATCTCTTTATTGATTCTTTATTCCTTATTTAATTTCTGTGCAGTTTGATGTTAGCTAATTAAAGTTTGTATTCATTTCATATCTATTTTAGTTATTCATATTTCATTAGTTACATTCTTTAAGATTAGTTTTAGTTTTATAATTTGTAGAAACTACTTCATACTATTTTTATTGTCTCAAACAAAATTAAGATAAACAAATATTGATAATTAATAAACATCCTATCTCCGAGGGAATGGTACTTAACTCTCACTCTATTACTTGTTTAAACAGTATCTTACACTTGCGATTTTCAAAATATACAACAATCAGCCGCTTGCCACAACTGGAAACATTCGCACGACCTCAGACCTCAAAAATCGGAGTCGGCGAAGTTCAAAGATCGCCATCTCTAACTTGAGATGTCACCAAACTCAAATGGGAAATTAAACTTCGTCAACAACCTTCAGTGATAATTGACAGAGGAAGGGAATCGATGGAGGCTTTGTGAATTTCATACGCAAAATAGTGGCGGCTCGCCAAGTTAATCTTACTTTAGGAAGATTGATCGTGGCTAAGATTTATTGATGAACCTCGTTATAATGAAACAAAAGCTAGAAGATGAGCTTCGTCAATGAGTTGTCATCGCGATGTAGTTCTATCTGGATCCTAACGAAAATCATGCATATCTTCTCACGATGTAGCTCATGACAAGCATTTAGTTTAACGACAAGCTTTCCATGATTATGTCGTCGATAATCCTTAATGGCAACAAACAACACACTGTTGTGACGGTAAGTAAGAGGCGAGGAGAGAGAGTGTTATTGTGGGGTGGTGGGGTGAGAAGGAAGGGGAGATTAGGAGAGCAAGGGTTTACAAATAAAGACTGAAAAGGGTAAAATTTAAATACTACATATGATAATTTTAAATTTTAAATTTATCTCTCTCTCTCTCTCAATCACTAGGGTTTTCCGTTGTGTTGCTGACAACACCGCCTCCTTTTCCCATTAAGGTCGGAGTCCGGCAATGTCTTAGGGTTGATTGTTATATCATGTTCTAGAAAGAAGTGTGACATAAGGGTCTTTACCATCATGGAGGTAACCCTCGATAGGAAGTCGGATGTTAACTGCTTGGGCGGGGCCGCATTGGGGCCTGCCGGGGATTAGCGTCGATGAGATCTTGTGAGGGCATCGTGGTTGGAGGTTGCTAGGCCTAGATTCAGCCTTGGTGAGATGGATCCATGGTTGTGGGATGCTAGATCGAGCGAAGAAAGGTGTTTTCGTCAAATGTTTGGGTGCGACGTTGATCATTAGTGGGAGATGGTTCTATGGTAGTGATGGCAGATGTCCTCCTCTGGTCATGGTGTTATCTTCATTCATTTTCTATTTTTTGTTTTGTTGATTATAAAAGCGGTGTTGTTTTCACCACGTTTGTGTTCTAATAATAGAGCCGATGTCTCCACATTCCAATTTTGTATGTTTGTCCCACTTGTTTGAGTTGGTTATTGATAGTGTATATGGTTTTTATCAAGATTTGTTTCTAGATCGAGGTTGCTTGTGTCCCCAATATTTGAGGTTTGTTCTCGATTGACTGGTTTTATCCATCGACTGTAGAGGTTATTTTTAACGAGCATTTGCCGCGCTTGACTTTGTATGTGCCAAGCATGTGTTTTCTCTTTTAGCTAGTCTTGACACTTGTGTTTATCTATGTCCTTCATATGTTTTCACAGGTGGGTCCACTCAATATTAAAGATGGAATTCTCTTATAGTTGGTGGTCATTTACTGTTATTTTTAAGTATGTAATTTGTTGAATTTAAAATAAAATTTTTCCTTCAAAAAAGCATATATCTACAATTTCTTTTAGGATTAATTTCAAAAATTCCTCCCGAACTATGACCCTTATAACACTTTGCCCTTCAAATTTTAAAAATTAACATCGGTTCCTCCCGAACTTTGTTTCGTAACAATTTTACCCCTTCTGTTATAATGAGTAACGAAATTACCACGTGTCACTTATTTAGTGAGAATTGAAAGCACAATTACGTTTATACCCTCCTAATCAGATAATTCCTCATTTTTATTAAAAAAATTCACCATCTTCGTTCCTCATTTTCGTTCCTTTTTTTCCTTATATTATTCATCAATAAGAAGTTTTTCCTTATATTATTCATCAATAAGAAGTTTGCCAATGTGCGAGAGTTTGAGGTTTGAAAGCGTTGTGTTGCTCAATTTCATTAGCCTCTTACCCAGTAAGCATTTTAATCTTTTTGCTTTTCAGGTTTTCTTTTTTTTTTTTTTCCCGAGTTTTGTATACGATTTCCCAATTTCCATTTTGAATAGCTTTCTGGGTTATAATAATTGATCATAATTTGCATCTTATGATGAAAACTGATTTCTTATTCAAATCTGACAGATGCTGATAAGTGTTTCCAACACGTTCTTTTTTTCTGCTTCCTCTCTTGCCTTGATGAAGAAGAAAAGGATGGCCATAGAATTTGCAAAACGAATAACAATACCCACACGGAGATGAATTTAAAGATGCTTGGAATTCGTTTCAGAGAATGCTTTGAACGCGTCCTTTTTCTTCTGTCGCAACGTTTAAAATCATATTATTCAAAATCTTATTATTCTATTGTGATTTCTCTATATAAGCAAATGAGTATCAAATTTTCAGTGACTTGGTGGATGCTCTTTGCAAAGAAGTTTAAAAGAAAATTTAATGCTGCATCCATCAACCAACAACTCTAAATACCAAAAAAAAAAAAAAAGACATAATGAGTTGTATTTTGAGATTTTGAGTTTTTTTAACTTTTCTTTTAATAATCTAGGGTTGTTACAGGTTAATTTATGATAATACCTTCTGGTCATGTACCTGACACGTGACGATTTTCGTCACTTATTGTAACAGAAGAGAAAAACTTATTAACGGAACAAAGTTTAAAGGACAAAGTGTTATAAAAGTCATAGTTCAAGGGGAATTTTTTAAAATTGATCATTTCTTTTATTTATTCTTAAGTTTATGAAATTAGTTGTATGTTACAAATCCATAAATTATTTTAGAAGATTCTTAGGTACGTCTAATGTATCGGTAAGTCAAATTTTTTTAACCGTTTAAATATACGTATTTTTAATTTTTATGTAATTTTATATAAATTTAACGAATAAAAAATTTAACTTATTAATATATTAACGTATTAGAAAATGTCCCAAATATTTTAAAACCCTCCAAAAATAGAAAATAAAATATAAAAACTAGAGTAACTGATGGGATATTTATTTTAAGAATTTATTTTAATTTTGAATTATAATTCTTAATTAAAAAGTTTTTTTTTTTTTATAAAAAATTTAAATTATAAAAATTAAAATCATAAATCGTGAATTTATAACTGCACTTTTCTTTCTTCGCAGTTTGGATTCCCTTTCATTTCCTTTCCTCTCCTCTCCTAATCCAAACCCTCAAGGCTCAAACGCAGAGATAGATCCGACAATGGCGGCTCAAACATCACGGGATGAGAGCGTCTACTTGGCGAAACTGGCCGAACAGGCCGAGCGCTACGAGGAGATGGCCGATCATATGAATAACCTTGTTACCGTCGTTGCCGCTGGCGAGGATCTCACCGTCGAGGAGCGGAACCTCTTGTCCGTGGCCTACAAGAACTTGGTCGGTGCTCGGCGCGCGTCGTGGCGGATCGTCTCTTCGATCGAGCAGAAGGAGGAGTCCCGCGGCAATGCCAGCCACGTCGTCGCCATCAGGGCGTACAGGGCGAAGATCGAAAGCGAGCTCTCCTCTATCTGCGGCGACGTTCTCGATCTGCTCGAGAAGAAGCTTGTCCCCTCGGCCTCCGCCGCCGAGTCGAAGGTGTTTTACCTGAAGATGAAGGGCGATTACCACCGCTACCTCGCCGAGTTCAAGGCCGGGGACGGCCGCAATGAAGCTGCCGAGAGTACGCTTTCCGATTACAAGGCTGCTCAGGTTAGGATTTTCGCATCTTTTTGTGATTCGATTTGACCGGTTTCCGATTCCATTTATGGCTTGTTTTCTTTTGTTTCTTGGATTTCTTGTAATCCTTAAAATAAAATGGCTGTTTTGCTCAACTTCGAAGGAAAATGTTTTATAGTAACTTGAAAATTCTTGCACTTGGTTTTAGGACTTGGGACTGAAACAGAGGTTTCATTCGTAGTTGCATTATAGGGGTCAGCTAGGGGATTAATCCTGTTTGTTTCTTGGAATTTCTGAGTGGCTATCTTGGCTTGATGATCTTTATTTGGTTGCTTTAGCCCGTTTAGTTATCTGATTCGAGTTTTTAATTCGAGTTGAGACGTGATTTATGTGAGAATTTTTTATTATAATAAAAAAATAGATGTGACTATTTGTGAGAGCTTTTTACTGTAGCAAAACTCAAATCGGTAAAATGAATGTGACCTTAGTCTTTCTGAGTTTGTGATGTCTTTGTTTTATTTTTTTTGATTCATACTTGTGATATTTTGTTGATTTTGCATTATATTATACGTTCGAACCTTGCATTTTTATTTTAGTGGTATTTAGATCAGATGTTGAGTTATGGCACTTAAATGAACCCACTCTGTGTTTTTGTTTTGAAATATTTTGTTGCAGGATATTGCAACTACTGAGCTTGCTCCAACTCATCCTATCCGTCTAGGATTGGCTCTTAACTTCTCTGTGTTTTACTATGAAATTTTGAGCACTCCTGATCGCGCTTGCGCTCTTGCAAAGCAGGTAAGGAAATTTCAATTTGATATGTTAGTTTTACATCGATCCCTGTTGATCTTGAATCTTTTGATTGGGTATCGTTCTCAGATAAGCGCTCTGCCTGGGGTTGCACCCAACCGAATTCCAGATTCTTTCAGGGCCATATAATCATAAATAAGTAGAACTCTTTTATAATAAATATGGTAAATATAGTCTAGCTTAGCTTGCATGTGTCTAATCCCGGCTAGCTTATTTCTTATTTAAATGATGGGTTTGGTGATTTTCGGTACGATGCTCAAATAATCAATTACAGTGCTGGATTTGCCTCTTATTTTTCACATTCAATCTTTTGTTCCCCCCACCCCTAGCTCATTTCATTTTCATACAATTTATGTCGGTATATTCCCATGGTTTTCTGCTTTGTAATCTAAACCGGCTTCTCAATGTTCTTCTCTTTATTTATGTTTCGTTTAGGCGTTTGACGAAGCAATAGCAGATCTGGATACATTGGGAGAGGATTCCTACAAGGATAGCACTCTGATAATGCAACTTCTTCGTGATAATCTCACTCTGTGGACATCAGACATTCAGGTTTGATCCTAATCCCTCTTCCTCGTTCCCCCATTAGTTATTGTGGATTAACGATGGAAGATTTATGAACTCTCTGGGTTGTGATTATTTACTGATCAATTTCTGCTGGTATGTTTGTAGGATGAGGGAACGGATGAAATAAAGGAAGCACCTAAGCATGAGGGTGACCAGTAGAAGTGAGAAACTTCACACCTGCGTAGGAGTATTCTTTCCTAACTGAAGTTACTTGGTCCTAGTTTGAGTTTACCATTTATTCATAGGGCTTATTTCTTGTGCTCCGGATTTAGGGGCTTTGCTTTGTACTTAGATGAGCTTCCTACGGTGTCTGGTTAAGTTTTAGTTTGGATGATTAACTTGCATCTCTTTCAAATTCTTGTTAGCATGTCGTGAAAAAGTATTGCTCAAGCGATTTCCATCTTATTGATCGTTGGAGGGTTTTTGTGCCCTTGTATTGAAACGATGAATAAGATAAATTTATGTACTAAATGAATTTTTCTGCGATATATCCTTATATTTCTTGTGTTTTTTATGGATAAACTACAAATCTATTATCTTAAAATTATAGGAATTCCCTCTGAACATAGGCACGCGTTGCAAATTCCCTCTGGAGTTGGTTTTTTTCCTTTTGTTTGCTCAAAAGACAAGCCATAAGGTGTATTAGTCAAGAACTTTGGGGCCTTAGAAGCATGACAGAGGCTATATACTCTTCGGAGTTGCGCCTTGCGCGTCTCTGTCTTCATGTTAAAAGACAGAAGCTATTCGTGAGGGGCAGACAAAATTGTCTGTTGACGGTTTGGGAGAGGCAAACGAAATTGTGTCTGTTCAGACGGCAGCGGTCGTAGCACCCAACAGCTATTCGGGAGGGGCAAACCAAAATTGTGTTTATTGAGACGGCAGCGTTCATAGCACCCGAAAGCTATTTGGGAGGGCAAAACGGGAGGGGAAAATGAAATTGACTGTTGAGACGGCAGCGGTCATAGCACCGGATACTTCAAAACAAAATGGTTTTTGGGATTTCTGTGGGCTTCAAATTCAAAACGATTTATGCTAATTATGCTCACGTATAGACTACTTAGTAATGGGCATGTTGGCTATGTTGGCTTTGATGATCTTTTTTTTTTTTTTTTAGAAATTGAAACTGGAATTAGATTAAACAGAAGCATCACGGTACTCACAATATTTGCAATGCTATCAGGGAATTCTTCCAGCCAAAATTGGTCAGAGTCTAGAGAGATGACAAACCTTGCTAGTTTGTGGGCAGCTTCATTACTGATAAAGCCACACGAACCACCACCAACTTCTCTAAGCAGCACTCTAATATCTGCTAAAACAGGCGCCTTCACAGCCAAGCTGGCTGGGCTATTAACAAAGGTTTTAACCGTAGAAGAGTCACACTCGACCAAAGAGACCGCCAAACCACTATCTTTTGCAAAAAAAGAAGGCTTCCCGAACAGCTAGTGTTGACAAATTTGGCGGTAAAATAAGAAATGAGTAAAAATGAAGATAATATAGACACATAGTATTTTACGTGGAAAACCCCTAAAGGAGACGGGATAAAAATGACGGGGCAAGTGTAGAAGGATTTCACTATGAAAAATAGAGATTACAATCTTCTCTCTATATTACACGGAGAAAACAATAAGAACCTCTCTCATGCAAATAGGAGAAACTACTCACAAAAGAAGAAAAGCTAGAAAAACTAAGGTCGTGTTTAGAATTGATCCCGTTTTTATTTTTTACGTTTTTCGAGAAACAAAAAATTAAAACTTTCTAAAACAGTGTTTGGTGCAATAAAGACAAAACATAAATGAAAACGATTTTTTGGTTTAGTGTAAAATGAGAGAGAAATGAAAATTTCATTTTTTGTTTTCGTTTTCTCCTCTCTTGAGCAGAGAGAGAGAGAGATTAATGGTTATTTTTATACTGAAAATAACCTCTTGATAAAACTAATAAATGCATTTTCAAAAATAATTTCTATCTGAGATTGAAAACGTTTTCATTTTCATTTTCATACAAAAAATAAAATAATTTTAAAACGAGTTCTAAACGCGCCCTAAATTTCTCTCACACTATGGGACAACTCTCAAAAAAAGAGAGAATGGGACGATCAAAAACTGAGGAGGGAGCTCAGTATTTATAGGCCCAAGGCCTCCCCCCTTTTATTTCCTTCACATTTCTTCCTTCCCTTCTCTTCTTTTCCTTTCTTCTTTCTTCTTCAAACTTGTGGGCTGCTGGGCTTCTTTTTTTTCTTTGTTTTCGGCCACCCATTATCTACATCCCATCATATTTGACATTCTCCCACTTGGAGATTTGATTGAAGATCAATCATGTCTCTACACCATCCTTTCTACCTTGTCGCTGCCATGCTACTTACGTTTCTGCTAGGCCACTTGAGGATCTACACAATTTGAACTTGTCAATATTTAGTGGCTTGGTCAAAGCATCTGCTAGGTTATCCTTGGTGTGAATCTTATGCATATCTACGATGTCGTCTTCCACTACTTCACGAACAAAGTGAAATTGAACACCTATGTGCTTCGTCCTGAAATGAAAGGCTAGATTACTTACACATTCGCTCTGACTGTCACAAAACAAAATAATCTTTTCTTCTTTGTGCACGAGCTCCTCTAATAACCTCTGAATCTAAATTGCTTCTTTGTAAGCTTGTGTAGCCGCCACGTATTATGTTTCTGTTGTAGATAACGCTACAATGGACTGCAATTTCGACACTTAGCTTACAACTCCTCCTGCAAGTGTGAACACATAGCTTGTAGTGGATTTTCTTTTATTTAGATCACCTGCAAAATCTAAATCCACATAGCCTCTGACAACAAACTTCGATCCTCCATAACATAACGCAACATCTGAGGCACCCTTGATGTATCTCAAGATCCTCTTGATAGTACTCCAATGTTCTCTACTAGGATTTACCATGTATCGATTGACCGCTCCTACTGATTGTGCAATGACTGGTCTTGTACAAATCATAGCAAACATTAAGCTACCCACTGCTGATGCATACGGCACTCGATGTTGGGAAAGGTGTCCTTAAAACATGAGATGTAATAAAGATATTTTATTATTTGATTAATAAAATAGTTTATTCATTATTTATGCGTATGTATTATTGAATAATTTATGAATATCATAGAAAATTCTGCAATTGTTTATGTAACCTTAACTATTGTATATAAGTGTTATATACGAGAGGACAATATTTAAGGATAATAATCGAAACAATGTTCGTAATGAATGTAATTAAAGTTTTCAGAATCTTTAATTAAAACATTATTAATGCGTGTCATTCCCATTAAGAATGAAATGGTGTTATCCGCATCATTAATATAAAGGGATATTAAATGAGTATATTATGTATAATGAGATTATGTAGAACTGGAACACATACACAATTTGATTTTCTGATAATTTCCGTTAGATATAGAAAATCAAATTTGAGTCTACCATTGGTCATATATAGAATGATCTTAATCCTGAGTTGTTAGTAGACTCCTATTTGTGGATTTGTGTTCTTTTATTTACTCAGTACGGATTTCGATATCTTAAATCCTATTCCTTGTATCTTGAAAACATGATGAAATGGATGAAATGGATGACCTGGAATGCTGATATACAAGATGGTATTCATTCCTTCTTTTTTGAAGAAACAGATAAATAATTCCCTTGAGAGTTGATTCGGTACTTGAATAAGTAACGAGTTCGTATTCATGAATGTGTTTTTATGAATATACTATTCATTAGAGAATTAATGGTACTCAAAGATAAAGATGTAATTAGAGAGGTTAGTGGATTTTACCTAACTCTAATTATGAATTATTTATGGATGATTGATCTATATGTAGTGACTATATCAAATGGAAACTTCAAGTTCTTAGAAGTAAATTATGTTTATAATTTCGAGAATGCAATTTCAAGTTTTTAGTGGAGTAACTTTTTAGAATTAATGGAATTAATTAATTAATTAAAGAGTTTAATTAATTATTAATTTCATTGGAGCTCAGAATTATAGGTCCATGAGTCCCTGTGTTATCCTTGTATTATTTGCAAGACAAGATGAATTATCAAAATTTTATTTCACTCGCGAATAATTAATTAAGAATTAATTATATGTTAAATAATGTGATTATTTAATTATTTTGTTCACACACTGTGGTTGGTCCATAGGGGGCATGTGACAGGGAAAAATCTCACTGGGATTTAGTTGCTTGCTCTCCAAATAATCCGGTTTACTTGTCTGACAAGTTTTCTAATTAAATTCAAAAAGGCAACTAAAGTGTTACTTTATTTGGAATCCGGTTTACTTATTTGACAAGTTTTTTAATTAAATTCAAAAAGGAAAGTAAAGTGTTACTTTATTTGGAATTGAATTTGAGCTAAAATTCGAAACTGGAGAGAGCAAAGAATTTTTTTCTCTTTCCTCCTTAGTTTGGCCGACCACCATATAAGGAAAAGGAAAGGAAAGTTTGTTTCCAAAATTAAAAGGGAAACTGTATTTTTAATGAGATTAAAAATATAGTAGTTACTAATTTCCTATTTCTTTGTTTACAAGCAAAAAGGTTCTTCTAGTATTATATAAATAGGAGACAATATGAATTGGAGAAGTTGATTTTTGATATCCTAATTCCATAGTTGGCCGAATTTCATAGAGAGAAAAAAGAGAAGAAAAGTTCTTCCAGTTTTTTTCTAATTCTTTCACATATATGCGTTGCTAGTGAAAGAATACAAAATTAGCGAGTGATCCTTTCTGATAGTTTTTACCTTAAGCCCACACTCATCGTCTTGTGAATTTCAAGGAGTAGACGAGGAAGACTTGGGTATTCTAAGAAAGCTTTGGAGCGAGGATTGTCCATTGGTCAAAGAAATCAAGTTATCCGCCTAATCATTAGCAATGTATCTATTGTTATAAATTAATGAGATTAATTTATTATTGCATAAATTAATATAATCTATAGCGTATTCAAAAGTTTTGTTATACACGATCTGCACTACCACGCTTATGCACTTTGAAAATGTTTCAAAACCAATAACTGGTATCAAAGCAGTCAATAGACTATATTAATTTATGGCATGATCATGTGATAATAAATCTTTATTAAAGATGTGATATTTAATTTGTTTGTATGTGATGGGTAGACACTTGCATTTATCATGGATGTTTATATTTACTCATGTTTGATGAATTTATAGATGATGGATTTGGTCGTTAATTATATGGTTCCATGGATCGGTTTTATTTATTTGTAAAATTTTTAAATTTGATTAGAAATTTTGTAAACCTTTAGATATAGGATTTTTGTTGTAATTTTATGAGATAAGATTCAAAAAATCCGGATCACCTCCGCCGGACATCCTTACTGTTGCTGTTGTCGCTGCAGCAGCCCGCGCGCCCAGCAGGCCCGTGACGCCCAGCATCCCACGGGCCTAGCTGCTTGCACGTTCGCCTGCGTGCCAGCGCGCCTGTGTGCCCCGCCCACGTGCCTGCATCTATGGCTGAGCCACAGTGAGCCAAACCAGGCCCTTATGATTTGGTTTGCAATTTGATCCAAAAGAGTTTTGGATGGAGAAAAAACGGAGCCCGGACCCGAAGAGGATGAATTAGAAGACCGAATTAAATTCAAGGCCCGTTGATGTAAATTATTGTAATTTTAATTCCATTATTTATTTCAATTGGATTGTAATTTAATTATTCGTGAAACTTGATCAAATTCGTCTCAATAGCTGATTGCTTATTTATATTTCATGAGATGAATATATATTATATGTCCATGCATATAACATGCCATATAGATTAAGTTTGCCTACTCATATGTTTAATTACATGTCATGCATACATGTACATACTATTATTTATTTATTTTGTTAAACGAGTTTTGAAAAATAAAATAAGAATTATGCGCTAAATTAATTTAATGAGATTAAATTAATTTTATTGCAATGTTAATTTGCAAAAAAATGTAATTATATGAAATTATATTTAAGAGTTAAATTTTAAAATTTCAATAAAATGTTTATTTTATTGAAGTTTGAAAATCATAAGATGATTTTTAAAGAAAATACATATTTATAAAATATTAAGTAGAAAGTCCACGGTTCTTTTTTCCTAATCAAAATGGTGTGCATGTATTATTTTTGACAAGGAAAACTTTCGCCTGTGAACAAAAATCTCCCTGATACTCTTCCACAAAAAGATAGATTTAAAAAAAAAATAAAAGAAAAAAAAGGAAGGAGTTCGCAACCAATCTAAAGGATATTCCATCAGAACTAAACAAAAATTATTGCTAGTACGCAGAGGCGTGTTGAGAAATCTGTTGATCTTTCTAATTTTAGAGATAACGAGCTTTTATGTATTTTAGCAAAAGCACCAACATGAAAAAAAAGAGACGGCACCATAACCATCATTAAAGCAGACCATTTTTAAGTACTCTCTCTCGATCAAACTACAACAACTAAAACATAAAACTTGACTGTTCCATAAAAATTCTATATTAGCTAAATAAACTACAACTTCACACGAACATCATCAATTCAGGCCTGCTATACACATTGTTATGCTCATCTTCCAGCGTCGGATAAGCCGCCACAAGGGCATCTTGAGCTCCAATATACAGCGAGTTGTAAATCTTCCAATAAACCTCTCTAACCTTCCTTGCAGGATGGAAAAGCCCTTGAAGGCAGTAGTTCAGGACAATGGCAGCACCCAAAGCCACTCTCATCCCTTCAATGGCTTCCATCACGGCATTTATGACATGTGGGGAAGTCTCGAATATGTTTGGCCACACATAGTTCAGCAGATGGACCAGCGCATCCTCGCAACCCAATCCTGCCACTCCCAGGGCCATGTGTTTCACGGCAGAAGCTGCGGTTTGCCTGTGCACCAAATCTCTGTCCATCAGGGCATCCTCGAGCAAGGGTGTCACAGCATAAATGTAGTCCTTCCCCATTTCACCAATGTACTCGAACAGGAACGAGAGTGATTTCAGGACACCATTCTGAACGTTCAGCTCCGGAACACGGTACTCATTCATCAGGGCAGGCAGAACTGTGAAAGGCGAACAGGTTTCGGCGACTATTGCAATAGCTACAGTTGTGCATACACGGTTTTGACGTTCCTGAACCTTTAGATTGTTCAACAGGGTAGCCAGCACATCTTGTGGTCCAATAGCTTTAGCAATGTAACCAAATGTGTTCACCGTAGCTCGACGGATGCCCTTTTTGTGGGCTTTAAGCATCTCAAGAAGTTCGAAACATATTCTCATCCACTCCCTAGCGGGAACAAACTCAGCACCACGATCAGCAATACGACCCACAAGGTCAATACAGTTTTCTTGCACTTTCTCGTGCCTGTTCTTTAAAATTGGAGTCAACCTGGGAAGCAAATCCTTTATAGGAGGTGTCATCTTCGTCATACCAATGACATTAACAATTGCCTTCAGCGCCCCGAGAATAGATCCAAGAACTTCAGGGTATTCTTCTCCCAAATACTCGTATAACACAACACCAAGATGACCCATGAGTTGTTCTTCTTGGCACTGCTTCATGACAACAGCAATCCTTGAAATAAGATCAGCCGCCTGCTGTCTAACCTTTGCACTCTTATTATTCAAACGCCACTTGATGGTACCACAAATCTGAGGTAAATACGGCTTTACCCTCTGTCCAAGAGAATTTACCACTGCTCCAAACCCATTAAGCATCACATTGGCATCATCACTGGTCTGCTCTTGGAAAGCATAGAGAATTCCATCAATCAGAAGCTCTTCCAAGCGAGCATCAATATCAGACGAACCCAAGTTTGCTACAACCTTTTCAATTGTCTCCATAACCATTCGCCTATATGGTTCACTCTCGTCCTTGAGATCCTCAACAACTCGTCCAACAATATCAGCAACACCAACTTTGTTTGCCATCTCCACAGTTGTTTCCACTAGTTGCTTATAGTTCCTTCTATCCAATGCCATCCTCCTGACCCAGAAGTTCTTGAAGAACTCGGGAAGAATATCAGTTCTTATGTAATCAGCCTCCACACCCTCCGTACTCACACACTGCTTCACCACTTTCAGCACAATTTTTTTCATTTCTTCATCAGGTGACTGGAACTCTCGAATCAATATAACCATCACTTCCTTGGTATAGTAACTGGCATATATTGCATCCATCAAAGGAATAATAAAACCAATGGCCTTCAAAAATGCAGCCAAGACCTTACCACGGTGCGACCTAATACCTTTCCACAGCGGCTTCAAAACAGAGTCGAAGCTCTCAATACCATATGGAGCGGCAGCTTCTGCAAGTGCAGCAAGTGAGAGGGCAGTAATTGTCCTCACCTTTTGATTCTCATCATTCAGACCGTGCTCTATAATCTCCACAAGAGACCTCAAGTGGGGAAGAACAGCACAACCAATCAAGATGGCAATCTGCTGAACAATCTTGATACCAGTGTGCCGAGCTTGCCAAGATTTCTTACTCTGACAAACGGCTTTCAAGAATGGCAAAAGCGCAGGGATACCAAGAGCAGAAGCAACAACACTAAAGGCTCTAGCAGTTGTGTTTCTAACATACTCATCGATGTTGTCAATATCAGGACGCATAGCGGCGATCATAGTCGCCAACCCTGCTGCTTTACTAAGATTGGAGATAATCTCTCTTCCTTCCACTCTAGCATAATAATCTTCATCAATCAATAAAGGCTCAATGACAACAAGAATTTTGTGAACATACGGTCTTACCAATTCATCCAATTTGTAAAGCACCCTATCAATGACCTTAACCAAAAGATGCCTCTCTTGGTCCTCCAAAGTAGGTTGCATAAGCAGCGGCAAAATGCGGTTAAACAATGGACCAGCACCAAAGTCTCGAGCTTTATCAGTAAGCTGTCTTAACGCCGTTTTCCTCTGTGGCGGTGTACCATTTTTAACCTTGAGCAAGAGCTTCATAATCTTCCTCTCTTTTTGTTCCTCGGGGGACAGTTCTTCCTCATCCTCTTCGTTCAACAACGCCCCAAAATACTGGTAATCCTCTGGTTTCATAAACGGCAAACCACCCGGAGCTTCCTTTGGAACATCAAACTGCTGCCCGCGGTTCTCCTCCGGGATTGCATAAAGAGGAGTTCCCATCGGTGTCGGCGTGGCGAGCAGCTTCCTTGCCGGAGTTCTAATAGGCACGTAAGAAGCCGGAGGCTCCAAAATCTTATAACCCTCTTGTGGGAACATAGCATCAAGCTCTTCATCAGTCAATGGGCGGTTTCTCTCCTCAATATCCTTCTCCCACCTCCATAAATTATACTGCTCCGGTGTAACCGTGCCACGCAGATTAATAGCCCCCGGTGTTGGAGTAGCAAGCTCAACCCCTCCAACAGGAGTCACACCAGGAGTATAAGCAGCCGCGGGCGTAGCTCCCGCCATCGGAGTCGCACTACCCATCGTGGCCGGGGTCTCATCCCACCTAGACCTCTGCTTTTTAGGAGTCGGTGTGGCCATCCCCGCAAGCTTCGGGGTAGCATCCCAAGTCATCCCGGCAGGGGTAGCGCCAGGGGTGACCGCACCAGCTGGGGTGGCATCCGAATCCGCCACTCGCCCCGGTGTCGGTGTCTCATCCCACCGGTTCCTCCTCGCAAGCGAGGGCGTTGAATCCCCCAGTCTCCCAGGCGTCGGGGTCGCGTCCCATCGCCCCGGTGTCGTATCAGGCAAGTCCCAATCGGATGTCGTCTTCGCCTTCTTCGCAGTGCCATCGTCCTGAGACAGGTCCCCCCTGTTCCTCCTCTTCTGCGGCTGGGAAGCATCGGCCGAAGCAGCCGGCACGCCCTTCTCCGCCGCCTCCTTGGCGGCCTCCTCTTCCTCTTTCTTCTTCTTGGCAATAAGTCTTAGGGTTTCCTCCTCCTCCCTCTTCAACGCCTCTTCCCTCATCACATCCGCATAAGTCCTCACCGACGGGTCCGGCGTCTTCTCCCCAGAAGCAAACGGATCGTTTCGGTCCGGCGAAATCACCCGATTCAGCCTCCGCTGCCTGTACGGATCCTCTCGATCGATAATCTTCTGCGACTTCTTAAACCCTAAATCCCCATCTTCTTCCCCTCCCCTGGGCACCTCCTTCATCAGCGACTTCGGGGCGGTATACGACGCAAGCTTGCGAGCGACCTCGTTGTCCATCGCGTCGAGATCCTCGTCGTCGTCCATTACCGGAATAGAGGAGACATAGGCATCCTTGTCGTTGCCACCATAGAACTCGGTATCGTATGTGACGGAATTAATCGAGGCAAGTTCTCGCTCCATTTTTCTTCTATCTTCCTGTGTCTTCGCGATCTCCGGGTCTACGGACGCCATTGTTAACCCTTCCGAAACCCTAGAAATTTGCGAAATCTGGTGAAACAAATGAAAATTATGGTTAAAGTGAGATATTAATAATGAAATGCGAAGTGAATTTGATTTTGGAACTGACCTGAGGTTTAGGGCTGGTTCTTGGCTTTGTTGTTTTTGTTCTTCACAGTTTCTTTCTTTCTAGGAGACGAATGACGATGTAGGGTTGGAGCTTGAGATGAAAATGACGAAAAGCCCGATAAAATATGAATGGCAATGATGTTATGGTTTTGGATTTGGGGCCCCGAATATCGTCTTGATAACCGACATTCATAGTCGGAAAGTCGGTTTGGATCTTTGGGCTCCGGCTCGGCCCATAGGACATTATTATGGATTTATTTACAGATAAGTCCATAACATATCAAGAAATGACCATCATATCCTCCATTAGCTATTCCTTAAAATTATTTAATTCATAATTGCTCATATAATAAGAACGTGCATGACAATGATTTTTTTTTAAGTGCATGACAATGATATTACTTCGATTTTCATAAAAGTTTTATATTTATAGTATTGTTAAGTTTAAAATATGTTTACATCATAAAAGTATATATTTATAATATCGTGAAATTAGAGACATGTTTTAAATATGGAATTCCAAAATGATCACTTGTGTAATTATTTTCGCTATAATGGATATAGAGTTAAATTTATGACAGGTTTTGGATTTTTTTTTTCCTTTTTAGAATCAGTTTTTGTATCTCAAATTGTTCTAACTTAAATCCTAAACTTTTTATAATGTCTCAAATTTAATTTCTCAATTAAAATTTCATTAACTATGAGATGGAAAACTACACTCTCGTAATTTCACCACAAATGATGAGCAATCTCATAAATTATCAATATGTTTTTTTTCTTTGGTGTTTATGAGTTCTCGCTAGATTATACTTTTGAAAGTGTATTTTATTTCTTGTTTTTTTTAATATAAAACACGTGAAACTCAAATTGTAAAACTTTTTCTTTGTTTTGTTTATGCTTTATTTCCTCTGATGTGCTTCTTTATACTTTATTGTTGTCAATGTGTGATATATTTTCTTTTGTTTATGCTTTACAACTCGAGTTTAAGTTTTAAGGATACAACAATTACTAAATATTTTTCTATATAATATGTAAATTAAGGGCACTATATTCTTTATTTTTTCTTACATGTAAATTTAAATGAAGAGATTTTATTGACACAGAATCTACAACTTAAAAATTAGACTATAAATTTTTTTTTCCTCTCCTCTAATTGGAAAAAGCTGCCCACAAAAAGAATGATATACTTTCTATTTTGAACGATGTTTTGTGCTTTTTGTGAATATATCTAATGATTGACAAGTTGATTGATTTTTTTTTTTTTTTTCAAGAAAAGCTTGATTATGAACATTTTCATAAAATTTTATTTGTACGAAGCTGGTTTGTTTTAGTACATTATTATAATGTGTAGAAATTTGAGTATCTAATCTTTTTGTTTAAAAACATTAAATAAAACTTAAATCTTTTGATTTTGTTTTTTAATGAATTTAAATGTATGAACTTTCTTATAAAATGAATATGAATTGGACCTTTAGTGTCTTTTTTCGCAAGAAATGTGGGAAAGGGGCATGAACCCTTTTTTTTTTTTTTTTTTTTCTTTCTCTAGCTTAACTATCATTAATTTGATATTTTTTGTCTAAATTTTAACGAAATTTTAATTGAGGGATTAAATTTGAGTCATTTAAAAAGTTTAAGTTAAAAAAAGTTTTCAGTAAGACCTCTCATGAATTTAACTCGTAAATATATGCGATTTTTTTCCTATCATAAGAATGTTAAAATGGAGCATGTAAAAACATATTTAACCTTTTATAATAAAAGAGAAAACAACTAAAATAGCATATTTAAAATAGAACGTTCTTACCTTACATATAAAGAGAAAAAAATAAAATAAAATAAGCTACAAGGTAACTGGTTGACCTGCTAACTTTTTTTTTTCTTTTTTTTTTACCGATAGAATTTAAATGAGGTGATAGAGTACCATCAATTGCTATGTACATAAGATGTCATTCTCAAATTGAATTTAGCACGACTACACGAGACATGAAAAGGATTTGAACTGATTTGTGATAGAGCAAACCTATGGCCTCAATGCTAAACAGCAATAAAAAATTTCGTTCATTTTACCGATTCGAGTTTTTAATTTTAGGTTTCTACAGTAAAAAACTATAAAAAAATGTCACATTTAATTTTTTCTGCTATAATGAAAAACTCTCAGAAAATATCACATCTCAACTCAAATTAAAAACTCGAATCCACGAAGTGAACGAGGTAGTTTGGCTCTGTTCAATATAATATTCTTCGGTAACATCTACTATCACTAGCAGAGTCCTTCATTTATGTCGTCCTCTCACAATGTTGACATATAATGAAAAAGACATCATTTTTCGTCATTGGATATGGTTATTAGTACTTATCATCGATAGTTCCAGCGAACCCTATCGCTTTTTATAGTAAGGTATATCCTATCCCGCTGCATGATTCTACACAGCATATTAAGAAGAAAAAGTAATATTTCATACCATGACATAATAATCTAACTCAAAAGAACATAGGCTGTTTGGTTTACAAGTTTGAACTGTGGTGATTTGAACCTTTTTTTATTTAAATTGTAGAATTTAAACTTTAGTAATTTTACCTATTATGTAAACCAGAGTTCGGATATGCAAATAAATTATAATTTAAATTGAGAATAAAATCCAATTGTGTTTGAATTTAGTGTTAAAAACTGTCATTTAACTTCTATAACAAATTTTATAAAACCACGTGTTTTCAGCAAATTTTATAAAACCTCATATTGTAATGACATTTTAATATTACATATGCATAGGAATTTACTCCTCTCTTAATTATGAACACAGAAAAAAATCATCTTAATTAGAGTTGAAACAAAGAAATATGACATTTTTAAGAAATACAAGTATCAAATCCAAAAAAAAATTATGTTGACATTGTTTTTAACTATTTGGGTTGTTGAATTTAGGAGGGTCAATTCCAAAATCGGGACTTAAATTGTGGTTGTGGTTTGAATAGTCCTCTTTATTTTGGAACAAAACACTAAATTGAACTCTTAGGCACAATTTGAATTGGTCTTCCTAGTTTAAATAGTTGAACCAAACAACAACATACATGATACCCACCGAAAACAGTGGCTAAAGAAACTGACCAATTGATGTACCTTTGTCTTTCCCTCGGAATGTGGCAATGAGAGGGACACAATGGACAAACTTTTTCCGCTCTCGATCCACCCTGTTATTCTCTCATCATGTTGATTTTATATCACTAACTTCACTTATGAGCTTTCGAAGAGGAATTGCGCGGTTTCATAAAGAACTCAAAAAATAACTAGTCCAAGAAGAAAAGGGGGTAAATAAGTACATTGATCCTAACAGAATATAGTGCAGCTTTCTGCTTAACATAACACCGCAAAATTAGCCCTTGCATCGACCTAACTAGCATATCAACCCATAAAATGTCCAGTGGTTACGAAAACATTACACACACCTCATCGCCATACATTGTTCCGTCCCTCGTTACCCGAAAAGAACTATACATTTTAGCGGTACAAAGCAATATCAAATTCTGAGGTTAAGCAAAATACTAAATTTAAGATACATTGTAATTTGAAAATCATGCGGAGTCTTCAAATTATGGAGAGCGTCGATCTTGCTAATTCCCTACAATGTCACTGCAACAATCCTTCTGTCTGCACTTCCTAAGAGACTTCATCGAATGATAGCTTTTCCAGGATCAATCTCTCTTGCTTGGTATCTAGTTAATCAGGAGTTAAGAGTTGAGACTACGAGTTGTTTAGAAGAAAGTCATACAGGGCAAACATATCTAAATGCAACAACGTGAATAATAAACATAGACTAATATATACGGAAATTGGCAGGATACATTCCAGGTCTGGGTTTTCAGTGAAATTTGAGTGCAGAGCGTTCCCGACACTGTCTACAATTGCAGAGGTAGTCATGGATGATTCAATGCACAGAATGGCTGTAATAGCATCTAAGCGAGTGACCTCATTTCTGAACATTAATCTTGCATGCGCTGCGACATTCACAAAATCAAAATGTTATGGGGTGAAATGGGATTCTCTTTCCATTTTTTAAATCTGCATGAGGATAAGAAAATGGGTATTTGTTACATAATAGTTGTTCATTCAAGAAGGGGACATACCCTGAGCTAGGCGTATCAAACTTTCAAGCATGCGCACGGTTGTCCTAGCTGAATCACAATATACTTTGTGGTTAAGGAGCAATGATGGACTCAATAACTTGTATAGAAAAGAAATAATTAGTTGGAACCTGCATTCTGAGTTGCAGATCTTCTTTGGAGCTGATAATAACTCGAGATAACTGATTCAGCATCCTTTGTGAGGACTGGTCTGAAATTTTCTTTTACGTAGTGAATATACCTGCAAGATGTCATGAAAAGGATGAACTCATGTCTTTAAAAGCAGAAATGTAGAATGCATATGACATGGTTGACTCTCAAATTTGCGAAAGAACATTCTTTGTGATAAACCTACAAGAATACACCTCGAAAATTTTTTCCTGACACACACATAGAGAGCATATCCATTATGTTCTAAAGGTATCAAGGTAAATTTGTGTAGTTTTTGGAGGAAAAAAATATTTTTTCCTTATTCAACGATTGATAAAAAACTACTAGTATTTATAGGTAAGCATGACAACACCCCTGTCATTGAATCCCATAATTCTAGTAATAGATAAATCACTATCTTAATAGATAGACACTAAGTAAATTAAATAGAGATTTAGGATATCTCCTTATCTCTTTATTTAAAAAAACAAATAATCCTAACTAGATAACAATAACCGGAAGTTATCCTAATTTAAATTTCCTAATTCGACACCCCCCCTCAAGCTGGTGCATAAATATCTATCATGCCCAGCTTGGTAATGAGAAATTCATAGTTGGTTCTGAACAACCCCTTTGTAAGAATATCAGCTATTTGTTGTGATGTTAGAACAAACATCATACAAATAGTTCATGCTTCTATCTTCTCTTTTATGAAGTGCATGTCGATCTCAACGTGTTTTGTTCTATCATGTTGCACCGGGTTATGGGCAATAGTAATTGCAGCCTTGTTGTCACAGTATAACTTCATAGGCATCTCCATTGGTCTCTTTAATTCTTCAAGGATCTTTTTTAACCACAACATCTCACATACTCCATGAGCCATTGCCCGGTATTCAGCCTCTACGCTACTTCGTGCTACCACGTTTTGTTTTTTGCTTCTCCAAGTGACTAGATTTCCCCATACATAAGTACAGTACCTTGATGTAGATCTTCTGTCTATAACTGAGCCTGCCCAATCTGTATTTGTGTATGCTTCAATCGTCCTCTGCTCACTCTTCTTGAAGAAAAGTCCTTTCCCTGGAGTACTTTTCAAATATCTCAGAATTCGGTATACTGCCTCAAGGTGTTCCTCATATGGTGAGTGCATAAACTGACTTACCATACTAACTGCGAATGCAATATCCAGTCGGGTGTGAGATAGATAAATCAGTTTTCCCACCAACTTCTGGTACCGAGTTATATCTACAGGATTTCCATCTTTGGTATCTCCTAACTTCTGATTAGGATCCATTGGGGTATCGGCCAGTCTATACCCACTCATTCCGGTTTCTTTGAGAAGATCAAGAATGTATTTTCTCTGTGAGACAACAATACCCTTCTTTGCACGAGCCACTTCCATTCCAAAGAAGTATCTTAGAAACCCTAAGTCTTTAATCTCGAATTCTGAAGCCAGACTTTCCTTCAACCGATTCATTTCAGTAGCATTATCCCCAGTAAGAATAATATCGTCCACATACACTATCAAAACTGCAATCTTTCCATCATTGGAGTGCTTTATGAACATAGTATGATCACCGCGAGCTTGAACATAGCCTTGATTCTTTATGGATCGAGTGAATCGTTCGAACCAAGCCCTTGGAGATTGCTTGAGCCCGTAAAGTGATTTCTTCAACTTGCACACCTTGGATCCAAAGTGTTTGTCAAATCCAGGTGGTGGATCCATATACACTTCCTCCAATTCTCCATTTAGAAACGCATTCTTCACATCTAACTGTTGAAGCGGCCAGTCGAGGTTTGCTGCAATTGAAAGAAGTACCCTCACAGTTAACTTTGCCACTGGAGCGAAGGTCTCGAGATAATCAATGCCATAGGTTTGAGTTAAACCTTTGGCCACCAATGGCGCCTTATACCTTTCGAGAGATCCATCTGAATTATACTTGATGGTGAACACCCATTTGCACCCTATTGTTGTCTTACCTCTCGGCAGATCTATCACCTCCCATGTGTGATTTTTCTCAAGTGCCCTCATCTCTTCAGAAATAGCCTTCCTCCACTCAGGAACCTGTAAAGCTTCCTGTACACTATTTGGAATTTCCACAGAAGAGAGATGTGAAGTAAATGCAAGAAACGAAGGAGAAAGATTTTTATAAGATATATAGTTAGACATGGGATGTTTGGTACAAGACCATACACCCTTGCGAGTAGCAATAGGAACATTAAGATCATCAAAGGACTTGAGACTAGGATTAGAGTAGCAATAGGTTATTTTTGTTTCCTATTTTTTCTCCCACAAAGTCAGTTAGGATTTAGGGGTGTTAGGAGTTTGAAGTATATTTATTTCCATGTACTTTCAGCTTTATTTTCAATAAGAAGAATTGAGATTATTTCTTCTAAAACCTATAGTTTATTCAAGGAAGAAAAGACCACGAGAGGAGATAGAGCAAAACCATGAATCCAATCTGATTGCTAATAGTCCAGGTAACACATTTCATGAACTTCAGATAGATATTACTGTTAATAATGATCTTGATATTCCCATTGCATTAAGGAAAGGTGTGAGATTGTGTACTCAGCATCCAATCTACAATTTTGTTTCTTATGATGGCCTATCACCAAAATATCAGGCATTTGCTGCTAATCTCTCCAATGTTAAAATTCCAGAGTATTAGGAAAATCAGAATGGAGGCCTGCCATTGATTATTGCTCTAGAAAAGAATGGCACTCGGGAGCTTTCAAATTTAGCAGAAGGAAAACGACCAATGAGATGCAAGTGGATTTTTTCCGTTAAATTTAATCCACATGGAAGTGTAAATCACCACAAAGCAAGGCATGCTGCTAAAGGATTCACTCAGACCAACAGCATCGACTACCAAGAGACTTTTGCTTCAGTCGCCAAGCGTAATACTGTTTGGGTGTTGTTATCCTTGACAGCTAACTTAGATTGGCCTCTTCATTAATTAGACGTCAAAAATGCCTTCCTTAATGGTGAGTTGGAAGAGGAAGTGTACATGGAGATTCCACCTAGTTTTGAGACAGGAAGTAATGTCAACAAAGTCTGCAAGCTCTGAAAGTCTTTGTATGGACTCAAGCTATCTCTTAGAGCGTGGTTACATAGGTTCACAAAAGCAATCAAGCATTGGTGCTCTCAGGGTCAAACTGATCATAATTGTTCACAAAATTCTCTCTTAATGGGAAAATTGCCATTCTCATTGTTTATGTTGACGAGTTAGTTTGAAATATTTCCCAGGCATGGAGGTTGCTCATTTGAAAAAAGGTATTGTGGTTTCTCAATGCAAGCACATCTTAGACTTACTTAAAGAAACTGGATTGTTAGTATGCACGCCTGTAGACACTCCAATGGAATCTGTGAAAAATTGAGAAAGAACTAGAATATTTCTCATTGAATAATGAATAATGAAAATAAGTTTAAATAGGAGGAGATGCCCCAATCAATTCCTCAAAACAAGGAATTGATAAACTAAAACAATATCTCTAATCCTAGTAAAGATAATAAACAAGAAAGATAAATGAGAGGATCAGGTAAGTCATTATCCGAATCTCTTTATTTTTAGAAACCAAAAGACTAACTTAACCCTAGTAATTTAAACACCGAATCGCCACACTCCCACTCAAGCTAGGTTGTAGATGTTAAGTAATCCTAGCTTGGAGACAAGGTCTTCGAACGTCTTCCTAGGCAAGGCTTTAGTAAGGATGTCTGCAGTTTGCTGACTTGTAGGGACATGATGGAGTGATATGGTGTTGTTCTCGAGCTTTTCTTTAACGAAGTGTCGATCGATTTCCACATGCTTGGTTCTATCGTGGTGTACTGGCTTCTTGGCTATACTGACAGCTGATTGATTATCACATAACACCTTCATAGTTCCTGGAATAGGGATTCCCAGCTCGTAAAGTACTCGTTTAAACCAAATTCCCTCACAAATTCCGTGTGCAAGGGCTCTAAATTCTGCCTCTGCTGAGCTTCGAGACACCACCTGCTGTTTTTTGCTTCTCTAAGTAACTAAATTACCCCAAACATAAGTACAATATCCAGAGGTTGATCTTCGATCAGTTACAGACCCTGCCCAATCTGCATCAATAAATATTCTAACTTCCCTGTTTGTTGTTTTCTGGAAGTACAGACCCTGTCCTGGTCTCATTTTCAAGTATCTCAAAATCCTATACACCGCTTCCATATGTTCTTCTGTTAGACAGTTCATGAACTAGCTTACCATACTTACAGCAAAACTGATGTCTGGTCTGGTATGGGACAGATAAATAAGTTTTCCGACTAACCTTTGATATCTTCTTTCGTCAACGGACGCACTATCATCTTTGCTTCCCAATTTTGCCGTAAGGTCCATAGGGGTATAAGCCCTAGCATTCTTGTTTCTTTCAAGAGATCTAGTACATACTTCCGTTGAGAAACCGCAATACCCCTCTTGGATCAAGCTACTTCTATTCCTAGGAAATATTTTAGATTGCCCAAATCTTTGATCTCAAACTCCTTAGCTAGAAAGCTTTTGAGTTTTAGAATTTCTTCATCATGATCCCCAGTTAGGATGATGTCATCGACATACATGATAAGTATTGCTTTCTTCTTTGATGGTGATTGCTTAACAAACATGGTGTGATCCGTCTAGCATTGATTGTACCCAACCTTTTTTACTGCCTTAGTAAACCTATCGAACCATGCTCTTGGTGACTGCTTAAGTCCATATAAGGACTTCTTGAGTTTACATACCTTATTGGTATTAGTCGGAGTTCCAAGTCCAGGAGGAATTTCCATGTACACTTCTTCAAGATCCCCGTTGAGGAATGCATTCTTCACATAAGATTGTGTGAAACCCTTAGCAACCAGGCGAGCTTTATATATGTTGACACTCCAATCTGAATTATACTTGATAGTGAATATCCACTTACATCCTACAGGACGTTTTCTTGATGGTAATTCAGACATCACCCACGTTCCATTCTTCTCTAGGGCTCGGATTTCTTCCAAAATTGCCTCATTCCATTGTGGTATAAGAAGAGCCTCATGTATAGAATTAGGAACTTGTATTCTGTCCGGATTGCTAACAAAGGCACGGTGAT